TAGTTCCGGAAGTATTTCAGTAGTGTTATCTGCGGGTGGGAGAGGCTGTGAGCAGCCGGGCTGCGGACGACCCCTGCTACCTGGGGAGGGCAGGGGCTGCCGTCGCCGTCCCACCAGAGCCTCCGTCCGTCGCCCAGAGTTTGAGGTGTCACTGCACAAACCTGTGCAAGCTCTCATCCTCAAAGCTAACTCGGTCTGCGATACTCGAGACTCGCTTTGCCGAACACTTTGGTACGTGCAAGTCTTGCGAGCACTTATTTCACAGAATCCCAGCATGGTGGGGGTTGGCAGGGACCTCTGTGGGTCACCCAGCCCAGCCCCCTGCCCAAGCAGGGTCACCCAGAGCAGGCTGCACAGCACCGTGGCCAGGCGGGTCTTGAAGATCTCCAGAGAAGGAGACTCCACAGCCTCCCTGGGCAGCCTGGGCCAGGGCTCCGTCCCCCTCAGAGGGAAGAAGTTCTTCCTCGGGTTCAGCTGGAGCTTCCTCTGCTTCAGTTTGTGCCCGTTGCCCCTTGTCCTGTCGCTGGGCACCACTGGAAAGAGTTTGGCCCCATCCTCCTGACACCCACCCTTGAGATATTTATAAACATATTTCTGTGCAGTTGCTCACAAACGAGCCTCCTCGGACAGCAACCAGAACTGACAGCTGGAGCTGCCTGGCCTCTGTCCTCGGGGCCGTGCTTTACCAGCCAAGAGGAAGCCCGCAGGGTGCCAGGGACCCCACGCCACAGACGCTTCTCCTCGGAGCCCACCCTGCCACCAAAGCCCAGCAGGGCCGGCAGAAGCCTCACTGGGAGCAGCCACCTGGGCCCAGCGAGGGCTCCTCTCCCCGGGACTGACCTTCTTGTTCAAGGCAGAGGGGTAGGACCTCACAGTGAAGTAGGACTCGGTGCTGTTCTGCTCGATGTACTGCAGGTTGTCCCCATCGTTGTACATAATCAGGCGAGTGGAGTCGTTGAAGAGAACTCCCACGCTGTTGTCACACAGCTGGTAACCTGTTCGAAAGGGAGCCCGTCAGGCCTTCAAACACAACGGCAGAGGGTTGTGTCACCCCGGGTCTTCCCGACAGCCACCCACCAAGCCCCTGCCAGGTCTAAGAGTCTCCCTTTTGTGGGGGCACTTCTCCTCCTGGGGATCTGTCACCCTCCCTTACAGCATCACCTGTGCAGAGACAACCCTGGCTGCCGCGGTGGGTGCGCGTGCTCGCTGCGGAGCGAGGCCAGCCGTCGCTTGCAGCAGGTAACCCTTTCCACCTTGAAGCGGCCAGGGCTGACGTTCAGCGACCGCTGCTCTGGATTCGCTGGGTATTTGGTAACGTTCCTGGCAGCAGCCTCGGGGGGGGACACACACTGGAATACTTGTGATTAAAGAACCAGACCTACGCAATGCCCACATCCAAGCTTCCCTCAGCCTCTTCAGAAACTGGAAGAGGTTGAAGAGTTGCCCCTGCATTATTTACCTAGGCCATATTTATCCGAGTAGTCCACCCATTTGCTAACCCAGAAGATGGGAATGCAGGCTGGGTCTTCAGCTTCTTCTGCAAGAGGAAAGGAGTTTGTTAGCAGACATTTCACAGCACCCTGTGCGCCCCAGCAGGCGAGCAATGCCAAGAGGGCTACAACGCCCACTCCTCAGCCTTCCAGTTTGAAATCTAGGCCAGCTGCTCTCTCGCTTTGGACAACAGCATCAGGAGGACAAAGCAGCAGGATGCCCAGGAAGGCTAGCGCCTGCGGGACTGCCCCAGACTCACCTTGTCTCACTGCCACTCTCTGGGAGGGCTTGGCCGAGTTGACTGCAGTCAGCTGCTGCAGCATGTCGGCTAAGTGACAGTCAACAGCGTCGCCCAGCTCCCGCAGCCCAGCTGCGTCCTCCTTTTCAGGCAAGTTCTCTAGCACGGGGCTGTCTGGTCCTGGGCAGAGAAAGACAAGAGCGTGGAGGCATGACCAGGCAGCAGGTCTCTAAAGGTCTCCAAGAGCTCTACACTCTACCCTAGCTGTAGGAAGCGCCTGACGCACCACACAGCTAAAGCTAGTGCTGGCGCTCCCTCCCCGCTCTGCTTCTGGGCAAAGAGCAAGGAGACCTCTCCCACTCAAAGTGCTCCAGATTTCCCCAAGAACTGGGAGCAGAGGCGAGGCAGCGCCGTGTTCTGTCCCAAGTGCTGCTGGGGTCCAGGCAGGCCCTCACCCGGCACCGCGGCCCAGCCCCACCGCCCACACCGGCTCCTACCTTTGTTGAGCGCGGTCAGGGGCTTTCGCCCGTTCAGTTCCAGCCCGCTGGGAGCGATTGAAAAGCGAGGCGCGACGGTGAGACAGCTGGTGGGCAAGCGGCTGGGGATGTATCCCGACGTGAAGAACTCATCATTCAGCAACTCGTCGATAGTGGGGCGCGAGGCAGGGTCAGACCTCAGCATCTTCTGGATGAGGTTCGCAGCTACGGGGTTGATGTGCTACGAGGAGACAGGCAGAGTCTAGAGACAAGGGCGAGGGGACGACGCGCGCTAGCGACGAAGGCATTGGCTACACGGCTTGGGGAGTGCTGCTCAGAGCAGAGCTCCGGTGCGGCGTCAGGCAAGCAGGACACAAGCCTGGGGAAACCGAACTGGGCAGGAATGGAGAGACATCTCCCGACAGCACGCAAAGCTTGAAGTCAACCGACTTCAGCAAGATCAAACCAACAGCAGTGGGAAGAGCTGGGGACCTGGCCCAGATCTCAGGGACTCCAGCGTCTCCGTTTAACCCCACGCGCCAACTGCCCAGCTCAGGTTTCTGCTGGATCACTGGGGAGCTGCTGGCTCCCCGAGAGGAAGCTCCGGCACCGACCGAAGCGTCCCCTTCCCAGGACCCCGCAGGAAGAGCCATTTCACCCAAGAGCCCGTTAAGTGCCAGAAACGGGACGGTGCAGAACAGGCTGAGCGAGAAGCGCAGCGAGGTGCATGGGCCCACCCGCGGGAAGGCCGTACCTTGGGAATAGTGTACTCGTTCTTCTTGATTCGGATGTACGTTTCTTTCAGACAGGAAGTTTCAAAAGGCGGCTTCCCCACCAGCAGAGTGTACCTGCACGTTCACAGACAACAGGGCGTCAGTTTGCAGAAGTGACCCCGTCCTAAGCGCAGCCCGGGACTTCCCGGCAGAGGGAAGGCGCTCGGCACTGGACACGCAGCAGCGCAGGGAGCTACGTGTCCTGCGCCTGGTTCCTGTGCCCAGCAAAACGAAGCTGGGACCTGCTGCCCCCTGAGGAAGTCTCCAGTTAGGAAGTGCGGGCTTTTGGGAAGCGCCTCGGGACAGCCGTGCCGCGGATCGGCCCGCAGGCACCAAGGCACTGGCACGGTCGCGTGCCGGCTGGCAGTGGGGCTCGGCAGGGCGGCTCCTCCGGGGACGGCACGTCCCAGGCTTCGGCGAAGCCCAGAGGGAACGAGGAGGCCGGGGCCACCACGACCACCCGGCCCCACGGCCACGCGAGCAGCGCTCTGACT